GCAACAAGAGCTGTTCGTCTTTTAGGTCTACTGGATTTTGTGTTGTCTTTAAGTATGGACACATTCCATGTGCCAATGGTGAGTGGAATCATCTTTGAAGAAGTTTTCATACATTTTTTGTGTTTCAACCACAAGGCGGGGTCCCTATCTGCCACAATAAACAGGCCAGGGTTGGGTAAAGCAGACAATTTTTAGGGCATCTTTTCTAGCCCATTCCTCACACCAGGAAGTGAGCAGCGCATTCCTTAAAAGGCTTCTCAGACACCTAGAGAGCTGCCGAATCCTGCTGCTGCTTCCAGCAAGATGGCCCTGTGGTCTGGACTGCCTGTGTGCAGAATTGTGACTACAGCTCCCAGTGTATCTGCACCTGCTGCTTCGTCAGTTGTCTGTTGCCACAAGACTTTTGAGATAGGTAAAAATGGTAAAATGGTATGGGTGATGTCTTTTGATTCATGCATAAACTGGATTTAAGTGAGGCACAGTAGTGTGAAGCCATCAGCTATCTCAACCAGAGTCATCACAGTCTAGGGGCAGGACAGAGTCAAGATGACTGATGATGGCTCAAGATGCGGTGGATGATGTTGGTGTCTTTGATGTCTGACCAAGCTCTAAGCGCTCCACAGAGCCTGCTTCAGCCACCTTCATGGCCACTGGAACAAACTGTTCTCATCTGCCCATTCCACCAGGAGAAGTCTTCACATGCTTGGGGAAGACACCCCCCTAACTCACTGATGGGTTTGAGACCCCTAGGTTACCCTCAACCTGGTTTAGCCTGTCTGCTGACATGGTTTACTGGGGTATGACCACTGCACGTGCTACAGCTTCTTGGAACCACAAGTGAGAGTTGGTGGATTAGGTAGATGCCAAAGGTGGAAAGCAGCCCTGAGGGGGAGACATCTTTCCCTTCACCTTCCAGGCAGGGGCTGGCCTACAAGGATTTATAGAGGGTGAGGTCCCAAAGGAGTTACAAAGCCCCTGGTGCTGCCCTCAGGGGAGAAAGGCCAACCAGAAGAGGGGGGCAGCAGAGTAAGTCTTGGAAACAAAGATGGTCTGAACTTGAAGACTACTTTCTACCCTCTCTTATTCATTCTCTTCTGTCCCCTTTTCCTCACTCATCCTTCTATAGATACCCAAGAGGCAGGAAGGAGTTTTGTATCCCAGGGAGGAACCCAGTCAGTGTCTCAATGGCTTCTGAATCAGAGCTCTTTCTCCCACTGAGGCTCTGGGCAAGGTTGGAAGGTTGGACACTTGTGACCCATTGGTAAAGCAGGTAAAGCCCTGGTGCCCCAGGGCATTTGGGATGTGAGGGGGAACCTGGACAAGGAGCAGGGGCCAGGAGCTGGCTCAGGAGCCAGGCCTGGGCGGGAAGCATGCTCCTGGTATCCCTGGAGGACACTCACCAAGAGGTCAGAAAGCAAGAATGGGGCCCAACAGAAAGGACATCCAAGCAAAAGCAGGGTGCTGGGTAGGGCCGTGCTTGCTTCTGGGAGGAAGGGGGATCTCAGGTGCAAGGGCTCAGGCTTCCAGCTACTCTGCTCTGGGCAGCTCCTCCTAGACCCTAGAGGCCCGCTCTGCCCCACCCTTTGGGCCCCAGGGGCCTCAAATTCTTCCAAAAGCACAGAGCCAAAACTGAGGACCCTGTCCGCCCCTCATCACCTAGAATGCCGTGGTCTTCCACCCTGGCCTCCTTACAAGCATCCAAACTCCACTTGGAAACCCAAATCCCACCCCTTCAGGCTGATTACCCCTAAGAGCTCCCCCTCTCCTGTTCTCCACCATCTCTCTTCCTGCCTTCCTACCCCAGTTCTGGGACTCGATATATGAAGGCTGAAAGGCTAGGAAGTGTTCAAAAGTCCTGACAACCATAAATGATACATGAAAACATATTCTAAAATACCTATAATAACAGAAAGTCACATTAAAATAATTTTGTATTTCTTCTCATGCCTTCAAATAAGTGAAAACGGCAAAAAGGAAACTATCACTATTTTGTTATCTTTAATTTTGAAATTCACAAACATGAAATAAAATGAGCACTTTATTTAATTTTCATTTATTTTTTCAATATTTAAATGCTATTTATTCTTTACCATTCAGAAAGTTTGATAACAGCAGTTGTCAGCAAATGATTATTACATGTAGATTCACTGAACAATATTTTGCAAGTATTCCATTGTTCTCTAATTTAATCCGGGCATGTCTGCTATTCTATGCTTAGCTCAGAGGTCAGCCAGATTTTCTTTCTTAAAATTTTTGCTTTTTGGTGAAGGCAAACCAATTCCCAATGAACTTTATTAAACATCTGGCAGACCTAGAAAAAGTCAAGGAAAGGGAGTAGAAGTGTAAGGTTGAATATGTAGCACATGGATTCAAGAGTTGAGATAAAATAGATGTTCTTTGGTTAGCAAAGTGGAAAAAGGGGGCAAGTATAGCATATGTGGTAGATGCACACCAGCATTCTAAAGGAGGAGACAAGAATGTCAAAGGTGCATTCTTCCCCCACAGCCCTGATGGAAGGGCTATTATCCTTTTCTTTCTTTCTTTCTTTTTTTGTTTGTTTGTTTTCGTTTTGGGGAGGCAGTTGGGGTTAAGTGATTTGCCTAGGGTCACACAGATAGTAAGTGTTAAGTGTCTGGTCTGAGAGCAGATTTGAACTCAGGTCTTCCTGATTCCAGGGCTGGTGCTCTATCCACTGTCACAAAGACAGCAGTGGTGGATAGGGCAGCTAGGTGGTGCCGTAATACATAGAGCACCAGGTCTGGAGTCAGGAAAATCTGAGTTCAAATCAGGCCTCAGACACTTGGGCTAAAGAGTTAACCCCTATTTGCCTCAGTTCTTCATCTGTAAAATGGGGACACAATGGAGAAGTTGTGGCAAACCATTCCACTATGTTGCCAGGAAAACCCCAAAGAGGGTCACGAAGAATCAGACAGCAACAATAGTGGATGCCAAGCACTTTGAGCTCTAGATATAAGCAGGTTACATTGGGGACAGGCCAGTCTTGACCTTCTGCAGCAGAACAGAACCAGTCACAGTTTCTCACTGTTTATGATGAGCTGGGCTGTAGAGCCTTCCTTCAGCTCCACTGTGACAGTTTCAGCTACACAGATATGTACAGTATCTAGTCCAGCAAGGCCTTTGGCCATGTTGGCTACCTTTACAATCTTCTGAAGGGGCAGCAGAATTCAGTGGTGAAGTAGGGATTGTCGCTGATATTTCATTCATTCCTGTCAGCATCCCTTGCTTTCTTCTAAAGCCTTTCTCTGATGTGGACACAGGTAAAAGAAGCTCTCCAACAGGTGGCTGGACATTAACACTGAAGCCATCATCCTTTGCACACAACTGGAATGAGGCAGTCTGAGTGGAATCACAAAACTCAACACTCATGGGGTAGTAATGGAACCTCTAAGTTCAAGAGATCCTATCAGGCTCATGCATCTGCATGTCTGAAGTCAGCTTTTTATCACAGAAGTGAGTATTATCAATCTTCTTATTGGTGGCATTACTTAATGGAAATGGAACAGAAAAGGGGGATTGCACATGAAACAAGTTCTAATGTATAGAGCTGGATTTTCTTTTTGAGCAATTAAAAAATTCAACATGGAATTTTAAAGCTGTCTTCATGTCTTCTGGCCTTCCTCCTGTTCTATTGCATGTATTTTTAAAAATCCATTAGGTTCCTTCTTTTCTTTTTTTGAGGGTAGAGGGAGGACAATCCTCTTCCTACTCCTCTCATACTGCTATCTTCTCCTACCCAAAACGGAAAAAAGAAAAACAATCAAAATAAAATATCTATAACCAACGCACCTAGGCAAGCAAAATAAATTCCTACACTGTCCACTTCTCACCATGTACTTTTTGTTCTACATCTGCTATTCATCTCTTCCCGCTCAAGATACAGGTAGGTAGCACACATCTTTCTAAGTTCGTAGGTATAGTGGTTGACCGTTCCAATAATCAGAGTTGTCACATTGTTCAAAATCGTTGGCCTTTGCAACGAGGTTACAGTTATCATTCAGTCCTCTGATTCTCCTTATTGCACACTGCTTTCGTATGGCTCATTCCAGATGTCACTGAAATGATCTATTTCATGGCATATTTTATTCCATTCTATTCATATACCAAAATTTACTCAGCCATTGCACTATTGTAGGACGGCATACCCTAGTTTCCAGTTCTTTGTCATAACAAAAGGAGTTGTTATAAATAGTTTTGTATGCTTGGATCCTTTTCTTCCTTCTTTGATTTAAGGCAACATGCCTATCGGTGGTATCACTGAGACAAAAGGTAGACACAATTTGGTGACTTTTGGGGTGCCACAGCTTTACCAACAACTAATGTGCCTGTTTTCCCATGGCTCTTTCAATGCTGGTTTTTTCCTTTTCTTCTCATCTTTGCCGATTGCATGGATACAAGGTGGAACATGATTACTTATTTAATTGCATTTGTCTAACTGTTAGTGATTTGGAACATTTTTTTTAATCTTATTTTTTTAATTAAATTTTATTTTTAGCTCTTGAATATAAATGACTTTGGTCATTTTCCAAGTAACATTTAATATATTTTCCACTGTATAATTTCTCTTCTTATTGGGGCTTCTTTATTTTATTAAAACATTTAAATTTTCTGTAGTTAGAATGATCTATTTTTAAAAATACCTATATCTTGGATTATGAATTCCCCTAGCTATAGCTGTAAAAAGTACCTGAGTTTTCTTCTGCTCATTTTTAAAAAGTTTCAACCAGCAAAAATTCAACCTACCCCTCCAACCCACCTCAGTTTGAGCAAGAAAGTAGGACGAAACCCTGTTTACAAACATAAGATCAATGACAACATTGCAGGAGAGTCTGCTCAGAAGGAAGACGTCGTGAGCGCCGAGCCGGCTTGGGGGCGGAGCTATGGGGTGACGCGCGGGATGGGGAGGGGCCTGGGAGAGGGGTGGAGCTTGGGTGCCCGTGAGGGGCCGAGGCCGGGGGCGGGGCTTCGGGGCGGGTGGGGGCGCAGGTCGTGACCCTGAGTGCCACATTGTAGCCATTGGAGGCCTGGCAGGCTCCCGGGGCCTCGGGGGTGGGGTGGAGCCGCAGAGCACCGGAGGCAGAGATCCTCCGGGCTCCGGAAGCAAGCTTCCAGTGCACATGAAAGACATCGGGGGTCCAAGCCAGTCCCCGCGCCACCCTGCCTCCGCCGGCGGCCTCCTTCCTCTCGGAGCTCTAGGTGAGTGTCCCCCGGGGACACCGGCAGCGCCTTCCCTCCCGGGCTATCCTGGCCCCTTCTTGCCCGCCAGCCTCCCCTTAATCCCCCCAGGGCCCCCCCCCCGGACCAGGGGTCCCACAGCCTGACTTCCAGGCTTCGCTCGGACCCGGAGTCCCGGAGCTTGTTTCCTCCGTGGGGGATGGGAAGTCCCTTCCTGCCTCGGGGGTGTCTGTGGGGCGATGGGGGAGGGGAGCGGGGCAGGAGAGACAGAAGAAGAGGGGGGGAGGGTGGCCCCCGTGCCCACCCCCGAGGGCAGTGCCAGGGCTTTGGGACTCCTCGGGGGTCTCACTCTCCGTAAATCCTTGTAGGCCAGCCCCCCGCCTGGGCGTGAGGGCAGAGACGTCTACCCCGGATCCTTCTCCCTCCCCTGAAGAGGATCAGGAGCTGGGCCAGGCAGGGAGGCCGAGGGAATGGCCCCCGGACCCCCGAGGCCCCCATGGCAGGTGAGTGTGGGGCAGCCCTGGGCTCGACTCCGTCACCAAGGGTGGTGGTTAAAAAACGGATAGGATACAGCAGTAACAGCACTGCCCTGCCCTCCCCCGGGTTTGAACTGCTTCATGAGCTCTTTCACCTCCAACAGTAACTTCCCAACTTGCTGCCCTCCTGGCTCTCCCTCCTCACACCTGACTTCATGCAATAGTCTCCACTACACAGAGATCCTTTCTGTGCTGTCGTTTCCAACTGAAGGTCAAGGAAAAGCCCCCCCCCCCCCCCCCCCCCCCCCCCCGCCCCCCCCCCCACCTCCTGTTGGGACCGAGCAGAGCCCCGACGTCATCCCCAGCTGTTTTCCTTTGCAGTCTTGTAGTCACAGCAAACATGATCCATTTACTCTGCCTCAGTTCACACAAGTCTTCCCAGGTCTCTCAATCCCTCCCATTTGCCATTTCTTAGCTCAAGTCAAAAAGCATTTAGAAAGTGACTCCTCTGTGCCAGGCCCTGTTCAAACCTCCTGTGGATACAAAGGAAATCACCCTGCCTTCAAGGAGCTCACAGTCTGATGTGGGAGACGACATTTAGGCATCTGTGTCCATAAAAGCTAGAGACACTGTAGCGGGAGGGGAAGGATCCAGCAGTTTCAGGGACCAGGAAAGGGTTTTTTCTAGAAAGTGAGGTTTGAGCTGAGATTTGAAGGAAGCCAGCAGGTGGAGGTGAGGAGAGAAAACATTCCAAGCATGTGAGAGGGCCATTGGAAAGGCCCAGAGTCAGGACACAGAGGGTCTTAAGCAAATATCAGCCAGGAGGTCTGTGTCAGGGTGAGAGGAGGTGGAGGAGGGAGCGAGGGGTTAGCAGAGAGGAAGGTGGGTGGGCCTAGTCAGATGGCGCCTTGTGTGTTCCATAAATATTATCTTCTTTGATCCTCTTGCAAGCATTTTCAGGGTCTTTGCTGGCCACAGTCAGCTAAGACAGTGCAGGATGTAGCCAGCCAGGTACAGTGGTGCTCCCACTGACCCCCACCTCTCCCCCCCCCAAAAAAATAGAAAGTTATGGAAGCATTTTTTAAAAAATACTCAGAAGGAAAGAGAAGGACTTAACAGAAAGATACACAGACCAGGTGAACAGCTCTGAAAAGAACATTTCAAAGTTATCCTCTTGTTTTAAAAGCCATTGGGGCTGAGGTTGCCATTTGATCCTAAAAGCAATAGGAAACCTTTGGAATTGGTAGAGTGGTCACCTGGTCAAATCTATAATTGAAGAATGTTACTTTGACTCTAGTGTGGAAGATGAAGCCCAGAGGCCATAAGAGTACTGCCTTCCTATGGTGAGGGCTCATACTATGAATAGCTACCATGCAATGAAGAATTGTGACTCGAGACCCTAGTGAAAAGGAAAGGTTTGTCAATTCTTGGGAATCTCAAAAAGTGGGAGAAGAGCAATAAATACCTTAGTTACTCAGGAGTTAAGTAATTTAGAAGTAAAGGATGTTGAGAGAAATATGGATTTCAAAAGAGTCTACATGAGACTTGTTAAGAAATCAAAATGATGAAAGTGAAAAGTCAGTGCTATCCCCAGGCTTGAGAAATGTTCTTAAGTAATAGAACCTCTGAAAAAGCAAGTCATGGCATGAACGGAAATGGCAGATAATGAAATGAGAGAGCATCAGAGCAGGAGGCATTGGCCAAACACGCGTTCTGCATGTAGCAGTTTGGAAAAATAGATGATCCCTCTCATATATCAAAGCATTTTCACGTCTGGCCAATTTCTTTTATTTCATTCATTAGTCTGCCTGTTACCTCATTGTCCTGACTCTTGATCTCCAATGTCCTAGACTTTTAGCAGTGTGTTTAACTTATTTCTCATTAATGTCACAATGTCTGTCTCATGAATTAGCCCAGTTTCCTACCCCACATAATGAAATATTACATTTTTAATAAGTGAAGGAACCCTCCTTTCCTCATCATACTCTTATTTCTGTGTAATGAAATATAAAAATTAATCTATGCCATTAAGAAGTGAAAGCAATCAATGTCAAACAAAGACAAGATGTTTTTGGCTTTGACAAGTCTTAACCTGGTCACCTCAAGCCCTCAGTATAACCATAGATAACTCTTCATTTGACTCATTACAATCTCATACTACTTAATACAGTCCAACAGTCCAGATTGTTATTTCTCTCTCTCTCTCTCTCTCTCTCTCTGTCTCTGTCTCTGTCTCTGTTTCTCTTTCTGTCTTTCTCTCTCTTAAGAGTCCTTTTTATGCTTTCATGTAGATAAGACCTTATTTCAGATTTTTAGGAAATTAGATAGATTATTCCTTGTTCTTTGCTTTCTCTTCAGTGATCACAGGTAATATCTTTACCCTCAGAATACACAGTACTTGCCAGCTTCTCACAAACTCTTAATAAAATTTTCTGAACATGTCATTGTGAGGTTCTGATGACAAAGGAATTTCACATCACCTTTTCGCTTTCTTCCTTACAGATTCTCATACCTCACTGATAGAACATACGTTCTCCCTGATTCCTTAGGGAGAAACATTTCATATAGAAAGATGAAGATATTTGTCAACTTCATTCCAACTGGAATATAAAATGCTTTGTCTCACTATTCCATTAATGACTATGGTTTTAAATATTGGCTCTGGCACTCATAAGTCATGTGACTGTTAGGAGATCCCTTCTCTGTGCCTCCATTTCCTTCTGTACGTTGATGAGGGTTGGGCTAGATGAATTCTGCAGTCTCCTTCAGCTCTAAGTCTTGTGAATTTTGATGGTTAGGAGTCACTGACATTCAAGGATGTGGCTGTGGACTTCACCCAGGAGGAGTGGGGCCTCTTGGACCATTCTCAGAAAAGGCTGTACAAGGAGGTGATGCTGGAGAACTCCCAGAACCTGCTTTCCTTGGGTAAGCAAACCCCCCTGAGAACTCTGAATCTGCTATCAAAGGAGAGTCTTCCTTCCCTGGTCTTTTGAACATTGTAAGTTATTAGAAACACAAAAGTGGTGGTCTCTCAACAGGGTCCTCCTGCTTCCTGGTTTTCCTGATTACAAAGTCTTCATTTTGTGATAGGAGGCTGGGACTATGATGCTCCTGAAGCTGTGTCTTTCCTATTTTAGGTATCTTCAGGTTCCAAAACAAAAAAAGGGCTATATAGATTCTCAGACTTGGAACTAATCTCAGAGGTTGTCCAGCATAGCCTTTACCTGGTCTAAAATTTTTGTCTGCAAAATCTTTGAAAACTGCTTGTGCAGGTTTTCTTTCAAGATGGACAGTGAAGGGAACCCCCTACCCAACAAGGCCACTGACTGCTTCCTCTTTGGGATGCATCTAGTCTTTAAAACGGCAGCTAGGTGGCAGAGTGCTCAGAGTGCCAGGCCTTGAGTCGGGAAGGCTTATCTTCGTGAGTTCATATCTGGCCTCCAACATTCGCTTCCTAGCAGTGTGGCCCTGGGCAGGTGACTTAACCCTACTTGCCTTAGTTTCCTCATCTGTAAAATGAGCTGGAGTAAGAAATGGCCAACCACTGCAGTATCTTTGCCAAGAAAACCCTGAGTAGGGCCATGAAGAATCAGACACAACTGGACAGCAAAAAAGTCTTTTAAAAGCTCTTTTTGTTAACAAGCATAACTTTGTAGCTCCTGACTACCAGACCTGCGTCATGTAGCAAGTTAATCTTTGTTCTTACTTTGTTCTTTCTTCAAATTCCAGTGCAGATGGTGGGAAAGGAATGTATGTAGACCTACTGTGTGCCAGGTTCTCTGTTAAGTACTTTAAAAATATTATTTCATCTGATCCTCACAGTACCCTGTGTGTTTGGTCCTACGAATATCCCCATTTTACAGTTGAAGAAACTAAGGCAAGCAGCGGTAAAGTGACTTGTCCAGGAGCACACAGCTCCCAATTGTCTGAGGCTGGATTTGAACTTAAGTCTTTCTGACTTAAGGGTTCTTACCACTAAACTATTAGCTGGTTATAATTTCTAGATAGTGGAAGCTATGGAATGTAACTGTCCTTTCTGGAAGACAACGATAGCATTTTCTAGTTCCAAATTGGCTGCATGGACTCCTCCCTGTAACCGCAAACTCCCAACAATAAATACCATGTTGACCGTCCATGAGGAGTCCTGGGAACCATCCTGTGGTCTTTGCTCCTATGTCCCTTTCTATAATGAGGAGTAAAGTATAAATTTCTCTCCATTCTCATCCCTTCCTTATTACCCATGCCAAGGAATTCCACCTCTCAGAGAAGATTTGATCTCCCATTTGGAGGAAGGGGAAGCATCATGGATCCTGGATCGAAAAGGCCCAAGGAAGTCCTGTCCTGGTAAGTGAGAGGAAAGCAAGAATATGAACACTGTTATCACAAGAAGCATCTTTGTTGTAGTGAAGGGAATGCTAGATTTGGGGCCAGGAAGACCTGACTTGGAATCCTTGTTTAGATGCTTTCTAGCAGTATGATCTTGGGAAAGTCACTGAACCTCTGAGCCTCAGTTTCCCCATCGATGTAATTAGGAGGTTGTACATAGTGGCCTTTCATTTCCCTTCTAGTGACACATCTGTGATCGTATAAGACATCATCGCTTGCAACTTTGGAGCATGGAAATCTCCTGAATGCATTCAAAGAGGGCTGAAGCTGTCCTGTATGAGCTCTTTCCTAGACTTTCCAATCATCAAGCATTTATTAAGTACCTAGTACATACTAGAAACTCTGCCAAGTGCCAGAGATAGAAAGAAAGGCAGGGGACAGTCCCTGCTCTCAGGCATCTCACAATCTAGCGGGGAAGACCACATGTAGACAGTTTTGTGGAGGCCTGCTATATCCAGGATAAATTACGAGTTAATCAAGAGAGGGAGGGCAGCTAGGTTATGCAGTGGGTAGAGTGCCAGGCTTGAAATGAGAAAGACTAATCTTCTGGAGAGCAAACCTGGCTTCAGACACAGACTAGCAGTAGGACCCTGAGCAAGTCACTTAACTCTTCGCCTCATTTTCTTCATCTGCAAAATGAGCTGGAAAAGAAAATGGCAAACCACTCTGGTATCTGCCGAGAAAACTCCAGATGAAAAGAGATGGACGTGACTGAACAACAAATCATGAGAGGGAAGGCAGGAAAATCAAGGAGGCCTGGGGAAGGCTCATTGTAGACGGTGGGGTTTCAGATAGGACTTCAGGGAAGCCAGGATGAACATTACAAACATGAGGGGCAGCCACGGAGAACACGTGGAGCCTGGAGATTGAGGAATTTGTTTAAGGAACAGAAAAGAGGCCTGTGCCACTGGATTCTCACATGTGGAAGGGGAGGGAAGTGAAAGAAGACCGGAAAGAAGAAGAAGCACAAGATGAGAAGGGCTTCAGCCCCCAGAGGGCTTTGTATTTGATCCTGGGGGTGGGACCCGCTGGAGCTTATGGACTAGGTAGGGACGTGTTCGGAAACGTGCTTTGAGTAGATTAGAGGGACAGCGGGGGCGGGGAGGCCAACCAGCAAGCTCTTGCAGCACCAGAGGTGTGCGGTTATATGAGCCTGACTGGGAAAGCAGCGATGTTTGGGGGGAAGGGGGTGTGTGGGAGAAACAGTCTTAACAACATCTAGGTCGTGAGCTTGGATGATTGGCGGGCTGGTGCGCTGGATAGCAGTAGACAAGTCAGAGCTTGGGAGGGTCGGCCAAAACGTGACGAGTTTACTTTTAAACACGGGAGGATGAGAGCCAGGAGACAGTGGTGTCTCTAAAACCTAGAGGAGAGGAGCCAGGCAAAGGGGTTGGTTGACAGTATGGGAGGTGGCTGAGAGGCTCGGAGGATTGAGAGAATGCCCTTGGATTTGGCCGTTTGGACGTGACTTGTAACTGCCGAGAACTGTCTTAGTTGAACGGGAAAGCTGGAGGCCAGACTTCAGAGAGTGAGAAGAAAGGAGTCGGAGACACCAATTATCAGTGGCCATCTCTAGAGGGGTTGTTGTCCTTTGTTCTCGAAGAGGACCTAAATGACGTTGTTATGTTGGGGTTAAAGTACAGTGTGTCTGCCTGTGGCTGATCAGAGCAGTATAAGCTCAGAAGACTCTTCCATAGGTCAGGCACAAGGGGTCCATGTGAGCATTTGGAGTGGGGATGTCTTTAAATTTGGGCATCTCACATTCCTTTTGGGCTACTGCAATTCTGCCTTGCCCAAAGAGCGCAGTGCCTTTTTGGAAGCAGGCACATCATGCTGGGCAGTCCCATGCCAGGGCCTCCCACGTCTCATAATCTATTCCAAAGTTCTTCAGAGAGAAGAACTCAGCTTCTTCTGACCTCCATGTGAGTGTTTCCCCCGTGTGAGTTTTCTGTAAATTAGTCTTAGACAAAGGTGCTTTTGACATTCAGACAACATGGCCAGCCCATCAGAATGCTTGGCAGTTTAGTTCAAGAAAGGACCTCAGTGTCTGGTATTTTATCCTGCCAGGTGATCTTCAGACTCTTCCTAAGACAATTCAAATGGAAACGGTTCAATTTCCTGGCATGGTGCTGGTGGACTGTCCAGGTTTCACAGGCAAACAACAATGAGGTCAACATAATGGTTCTGTTGACCCTCCAGTTTGGTAATCAGTCTGATACCTCTCCTCTCCCACCCTTTCCTTCGGAGCCTCCCAGACACTGAACTAGCTCTGGCGATGCATGCGTCAACATCATCTTCCATGTGTGCATCCCTCGAAAGTATAATGCAAGGTAAATAAACTTAAACACAGCAGTCAGAATTTCTCCATTTGCTGTAACCAAGGTTCCACATTTAGATGGTGTGGTGCTGGCTGGTGGAGATCCTCTGGTTTTTTGGTGTTAATTGTTAGGCCAAAATTTGCATAAGCAGCAGAGAATCAGTCCATACTTTATGGCATCTCAGCCTCAGAGGCTGCATTAAGTGCACAAATATCTGAACAAAAAGTCCTGCCCTGACTCTCCCTCCACTTTAGTCTTGGCTTGTAGCCTTTTCAAGTTAAAATGATTTACCATCAGTGCAGTAGCTGACCTTGATGCCACTTTCATCCCTGTTGAAAGCATCTAACAACACAGCAGAAAACATCCTGTTAAAAGCATGAGAGCAAACATACAGCCTTGATTTACTCCACCGGCGACTGGGAAAGCACAAGAGCATTGTCTGTTATCCAGAACCCAGCAAGCATACCTTCATGAAACTGACTTGCAATACTGATGAATTTCTCCAGGCAACCAGATTTTGCCATTAGCTTTCCACAAGTCATCATGACTGACAATATCATTGTCCTTTGTTAGATGGACAAATATTATGTACAGACCTCTGTTCTGCTCCTGGTATTTCACCTGGAGTTGTCGGGCAGCAAACACCACATCAACTGTTCTTGGCCCTTTCTGAAGCCACACTGGCTTTCAGATAGAAGACCATGTCCCAAAGGATCAGCCTGTTAAGGGGAGCTCTGGCAAGAATCTTGCCAGCAATGATTAGGAGTCACTGTGATTGTCACAGGACAGCCCGTTTCCCTTTCCTTTATAGAGATGGATGATGGAGACATCTTGAACTCCTGGAGGATAAGGTCCTCTAGCCATATAATCCAGAAAATTTCAGTCAGCCTTGGTATGAGCAGTGGACTCCCTGCCTTGTAAATCTCAGCTAGAATAGAATCGGCACCAGGTGCTTTGCCATGTGAAAGGAGCTTGATGGCATTCAGAATCTCCTTTGGTTGGAAATTTGGCTAGATAAGGATTGACTTCAACCTGAGGTAAACGGTCAATGGCTTCAGCATTGATTGATAAGGGTTTGTTAAGAACGCTAAGAAAGTGTTCAGCCCATCACTCCAGGATCATGTTCTTATCACTAATCCAGGTGGCTCCATCAGCACTGCGTGGTTGAGATGCGCTGTAGGGCTTTGGCCCACAAGTAACCTTCACAGCATCACAAAAGTACTTTGGATTGTTACTATCGACATAAATCTGATTTTCAGCTTCCTTCTGACTGAGACAAAAATCCTGCTTATCTCTTAAGTTTTGCTTGTAATTGACTTTTTTTTTACAACCGTGTATCATTTTATTGATCTTTTTTTTAAACACAAACCATTTATTTTCTTTTTATATAATTTTTTCCCCAATTACGTGTTAAAACAATTTTTAACATTTTAAAAAAAGTTTTGAGTTCCAAATTCTATCCTTCCCTCCTCTCCCCCTTCCCGAGATGATAAGTAATCCCATATAGTTTATCACGTTTCACTTTTCTTTTGATGGAGTTAAACTCTGCCTTCTTAGAGATGAATTAGCTATACTGCTCATAAACCTTGTGGTGTTCTCATTTTCCACTTAGGAGCTTCTGAATTTCCCTGTTGTTTTCATCAATGAGTACTCTGGGCCAGATGACTAAATGTGGTCCTGTACACCAAATCCCTGAAAGCTGTCCGCTCCTTTGCTGTTCCCCAGTTGCCCGCTGTGTGTTGGCTCAGCTTTCCCTCCAAGTTACCAAGGAACTGTTCCCACTCAAGAGAAATGCTCTCATCTGTTGACATTAAGTCTTCAGGTATTTCCCTTGCTTTGGGGCTGCAGCTTTTGTTCGATGGGAATGTTTAGCTTGGAAAGGATAACTCCAGAGTCAGTCCAGCACTGAGCCACGCATCACTGTCGTCACTCTCATATCCTGTCTGTGCCTTCTCTTTACATGGCAGTGTTTGCTGTGAGGGTGCGTCCATGAAGTTTTATTGCGTTTAGGTAAATGGAAGGCAGTGTTGGTGATGAGAAGGTCATGAAATGCACGAGTCTTCCATAGTAAGTGACCACTGCTGTTGCTGTTTCTAACTCCATTCCTCCCAAGGACTTTGTGGCATGTCTGGTAGTCTGTGCCTCCTCTAGTGTTAAAGTTACCCAGAATTATAAGCTTGTCCTCTTTTGACACATTGATGAGAATCTCCAGGCGCTCATAAAATTTTTCCTTGACTTCATCAAGATTGTTCACGATAGGAGCAAACACACTGATGATAGTGGCGTGGCGTTTTCCCGCAAGGGGCGATTGCGTTGTCATGAGTCTGTCATTCAGTCATTTTGGTAGGCATATGAGCTGGTCGACTAGATTAGCTTTTATTACAAAATCTGTGCCAATTTCATCTCTAGGTATTTAGCAGTGAAAGGGAAGAAAGATAGGACATCATGTAATGGTGATAAATGGAGCAAGTGAGGCTTTTTTGAGTACCCAGGAGACTTTTATTTGTGGCAGTAGGGTAGGAGCCGGTAGACAGGGAGAGATTGAAGATTGGTGGAAAAAATGAGGATGAAAGAGAAGGGAATATTCTGAGCGGAAGACCCAGGCCAGTAACACAAGCCAATAAACATTAACTAAGCACC